CCCTATAACACTGTTGATTTTTCCGTTTTATATGAATTCTATGTTGTACGAGTCACTTAGATTTTACAAATATGTGAGCCGTTCACAGCCCGGCACTTGTATTTGTAAAATCTAAGTGACTCGTACAACATGGAATTCATATAAAACGGAAAAATCAACAGTGTTATAGGGGGGTCGACTGTAAATTTAGTTAATTTAAACAAGTCATTCTTAAATAATAAAGTTAAAATAATTTAAAAATGATACAATGATTTATCGTAAATGTGCATACAGAAAAGCAAAGTATGCATACATGGCCTATTCAAAAAATATTCGGACTGATTCGTCAAAGGGGAAGTACACTCAAAACGATAGTATAAATCTTTATTCCTGACTTGAATTTCGTTGTTAAGAAACTTCTTCAATAAAATTAGAACGAAACTCGTATTGCATCCCTTGATTTTGACAAGGGGAATTAAAATAACTATTTTTAAATACTAATAAATAACAATCGAAATTGATTAATTAATAAATTAATTAAAACTAAACCTATACAAATAATATCTACATAAATGTGATTTCGATTGATACGTGAAACTGACATAAATTGGTATTAGTCTACTTGATATTATATAATAGCTTGTATCAAATAAAAAAATTATATGTTTGAAACAATTTTAATAATTCTTATAAATAGTAATTTCATCAGCTGATATCATTTTGTCATTTGAAACTTAACGAAAAATCACTTCAGAAATGAACTGATATGAATTGATATCGTTGATCATGAAGTTATATTACTTTCCCGGTTGTTATATACAATAGACCCCGCTATAAAACGGGTTCATATAATGCGGATCCGTATATAACGGCGAAAAAATTGCGATCGTGTTCGTATAACACGCTAAAAGAGACTCGTATAACGTGGTAGAACGTCATCACCGACTCGTGTCGTGACAGGATTGGTTGAATCTGAACCAATAGCAGATATTGCACAAGCCGTTGAGTTTAAACGAGCAGCGGACCTACTAAATACCATTTATTATTTAACGGCCTTAAAAATTATATTTATATTAATGTCTCCAAAGTTCGGCGAATTTTTCGCAGAGAAATAACTTATCAGAAAACATGCAATGGCGTAGTCGAACGGTGCACACTCGGTAAGTAATCTTACAATTTTTGTTTATAGCATAGTTTACATAGATTATTCCCAAAAAATTATACGTGTTTTGGAAATGTTGAATCAAATCAGTCTAGAATTGATTAATTTTATGGAAGAAAACCTTTCAAACAGCTTTAGTCACCAAACTGCATACGTGCCGGACTGTGATTGGCTCATGTATTTAAGGACTCGTACAACATGAATTTTATAAAAAAATGGAACATATCTACCGTGTTATAGGGGGGGTCGACTGTATAACAGAGGTAAAGTATGGCGATTGCCTAAAAAATGACCCTGAAGAATTTTGCATTTTTTCATTCAGGGAACTTCGAAACGTCGACAAATTCAAATTAAAGTTGTTTTTCCTCCTGTATGTACGGATGTTATTCTTTGTTGGGGACACGACTTTGCTCACCCATTTTGAAGCATAATAATTCCTTTGCCTTTTGTCGAAAATTTCTGATATTTTCAGGGAGGTTTGTGTATTAGGGGAATTGATGCTATTAAATTTTGGTGGTTAAAGGTCGAGGAGATCATTGTCATATTTGGAGTGGATTCGGACTTAATGAATGTTTTTCTCGTTATTAGCATTTACAATTTTTCTATAAACTTATCGCTACCCTCAAAATTAAGCTTTCTCTCATCTTATGATAATTAATAATAGTAAAAGTTTTAAAAATAAAATCTCAGCAGATGGCATTATACACAATTTTAACTTTATTGCCGGAAAGTTACACAACTTATCGTCTTTTAAAATGCAATAAGACCAAAAACCACCGGCAACATGACGGACAAATTGCATCACAGAGAATAGATGTCTCCACATAGAATCGCCGCTCCACTTTCATTTTTTTAAATCTCACTATTATGGATCGGATAATAATACTAATTAACCAGAAAATACATCGTAAATTTAGTAAAATAAAAAAAAAAAAACGTATTTTTCGACTGTAGCGTGTACTGAAGAGGGACTAAAGCCCGAAATGCATTTACAATACAGTACACTAATTAAGAGTGGTATTAAAATATATTGGGTGATATTCTCGTCTGCTTAGTTATTGTCAGTCAAAAGAAATGTGGTTATTCACGTCGAAATTCGAGAAATGCGTTTTTTAATTTACTAAATTTACGATATATTTCTAGATTAATTACATTTACTGTTTACTTTATGGTCTGAACCAATGAAGTAAGTCGACCATATGAACTTGCAGCTTCATATGGTCGACTTACAATTTAAAATTTAGCAATTACTATATTATTTTAATCTTTAATAAAGTTAATTATTGATTGATNTCTCTAATTAGTCTGGAAACGGGGGACCTAATTCTTGCATTCTGTGAAAACGGGTAAGATTGGCTATAATGTAATTATCTTAATCTTCACTATCGTTACTTTTTAAAAACCCAGCGAAGCGGGTCCTTGCAGTTAGATTCTAGATTACTTAGAAAAACAGTCTTTTATATATAAAAAACAAAAACTATATTACATACAAATGTACGAACAAATAAAAACCCAGCGAAGCGGGTCCTTGCAGCTAGTATTTATATAAATTTACAAGGTATTTTGATATAAATTTTAAAAATTTTGCATCTTTAAGTTGATTAAAACATCCACGTATCAAGATACAGTATATGTTAACGACTATTATCGCGCAAGCACTGAATTTAATACAAACTCAGATCATACAACAGATCTGAAGTTTGTATCAAATTCAGACCTTCGTGATGTTTTTGTTTGATGATTGGATAACCGATGCAGTAAGGTCAAACTTCCGCTTTCAGTGGATTCGGGCTCCAGTCCGAATCAGAAGCTTCAAGAATTTATCATGTCTGTCTCAAATGCGTCAAATCTCATGCCTCATAACCCGACTGTCTCTTAACGAAGCTACAATAGGCATCGATAGACATGAGTAAAACACTTAATATAATCTATATATATATATATAAACTATTTTATGAGAAGTACGGATACCTCAATCCCTAACTATGGCCGAAGCGGTTAAGTGTCGGCTTACTGCTCTGGGGACCCGGGATTAAATTCAGGCGAGCAACCTTATGAATTTTGCTTAGGTTGCCTGTTCCGGATAGGTCATGCTCCATCTTCATTACCCTGCCAAAAGGGGAGTCGGCTATTGTAGGCTTGGCCGAACCCTCAATGGGCTTGGAAAAAAAAGACCCTCTAGTACCTAAAGGACACAAAAAAACAAAAAAATTTAAGATTACTTAAGGGTGTGTATCATAAAATCTGCACAAATTTCAAAGTTGTTTAAAATTCATTATTTATTTTAAAGTAAGATTTTTTTGTTACAAATAGATTGTTTAACTTTCGGATGACACGATCGGGTCGGCTTCAATTCGAATTTTAGTCTTAACTCGTTCCATTAACACTAGCTTTGAAGTTGCGAAGCTTGGTTTTAATCCTGTTATCCAACTCTTTCGCAGATCCAGTTTCCCAATCATTTTCATAAACTATTTGCTTCAATTAGTACCAAAATGCCTCAATCGGTCTCGGTTGCAAACGTTTGAAACGTTGACTTCACGGGA